GTGATGACAAAATAATGGTAGGTCACAGTGACCTACTTTCAATGAGTAGCATATGATGTATATTGCTTGTGACTTTGAATGCCACTTGGGATCAGACTGTGTTGATCTCTACTTCTGGAAAACTGTTCTTAAAATGCTTTTTACAGATAAATGAGCGTTAAATAAATTTTCACAGTCATACATTTACACAGTATTATAACCTGTGAAGAACTGATCTTCAGCATTCCATGCTTGTCATAAGAAGCTGACAAACGGATCAGGCCCCGATTTCTCGAAACAAACTTAGGTCTGAGTTTTGACTTAAGTTCGAGTTTTTACTCAAATTTGAAAAACGCAGGAAAATGCATTTCACAGAATGAACTGAAATCGGTATTAAACTCAAACTATAGAAGATAATTTGAGTTTGGTGGATAGATTACTTTAGTTGTTTGGGCTTTTATATTTAAAAAATGCAGTTGAGTTAAAATTTCAGCTGTTCCAAATTGTGAACTCAGTTTGAGATTTGAGTAAAAACTTAAGTTTGTTTCGAGAAATGGGGGCCAGGTGGTCAGTCTTGCTGACTTGTTTGAGACATATCATTGTATCCAAATTACATAGGTGAAGATTCGGGTTAGAATTGGTCTTCAGTAACCCATATATAACATGATCGGTGCTCACTCTCTGACTTGGTTGACACTTGTGTACATTGATGCTCACGCTGTTAATCAATGGATTCTCTGGACCAGACTTGATTATTGACAGACTGCCGTCATATAGCTGGAATATCGTTAAACAACAAACAAACAAAACATGCTCATTATGTCAATCTCTGGATTGTCTGTTCCAGACTTGATTATTTACAGACTGCCATCACATATCTGGGATATTGCTGATTGCGGCTTTTAACAACAAGCAGATAAACCGATGTTCTTGATCAATGTAGCTAACATGGTTAACTGTTTGATACAGTGATAAAAATCTTCAAACAGATATATTCTATTGAAAAATTCATTAACCTCAAGAATAATAAAAGGGGATGCTTTTGAAAACAAATGGCTTCCTCTGTCTCATCTTTATGAAGAAGTCTCTGGTCTGGGTGTAAAGTCATTAGTGGTGGTCCGATTAATTGAAATAATCGAAGATTGGTCACAATGACTAAACAACCAATCCATCGACTATGTTTTCTCATAATCGAACACAAACAATTCTGGAACACTTGTTTTCATCAACAATATTTTTCACAAGGTTGCTTTTGTCTGTTACATTTCATAAGCACTGCAAGCTAGTTCCAAGTCATGACTGAATTTATCTTAAAGACTCCAGGAAATTTATGTTCCTAACATGCTAGTCATCCTTTAAAGATGTAAAATTTGCAAAACACTCAAAAGAACTACATGTTTTGTCTTTACAAACTAACCAGGAAAATTTGATAAATGACGCTAACCAATTATTGTCGATGGTTTATCAGTTGTAATGAACCAATCATCAATTATGAGATTTTAACCAATTCCCAACACTAATAGTCATTAACAAATTATTATTTTTTTAATATTTTTTTTATTATCTTCCTTACAATTCTTGATTCCTGTATCCTTCGCTTCCAACATTTTTGTCATAACCTTGTAACATTATTCATATACTATGGCAGTGCTTTGTTATGCAATCTCTATTTAAGCCTACTTGTAAGGCCTACTGTGTTACTTAATACCTATATTTATGAGAATACTGTCATTGATTGTGTCTCTGTATCTGAGAACTATTGTTTATGCACTACTCATTTGGCAGTCATTGTAACCATTGTCTCTAAATACAACCGTGCATGGTTGACAGGCTTTTTACCTGATTTGCTGGAATGAAAAAAAGAGAAGGAAAAGAAGACATGGTTAACTGACTCATCAAGGCATTGGACTCTTTGTTGTAATTAAGAAATACACTTCGCTCTACCACCATGTATAGTGTAATAAAACACACTTTTGCCCTGAACTATTATAGTTAAAGCACGAGGACGCTTGCGTCCGAGTGCTTTAACGTTGTAATAGTTCACTAAAAGTGTGTTTTATTACACTATACATGGTGGTAGGGCTATGTATTTCTTTCTAAGATGCCAAATTTAATACTTTCTAAAGATAATTACGATTAATTTAAGGCAGAAAACAAACGACGGTGTCGGTGACCTAAATTAAGAATCCTCGCACAGGGCTAACTGGTGCGCTGTTCTATTGATGTGTCTGCCCCCTACGTTAAGACTAACGTTACCAGAAAAAACAAATGATAACAGTTTGATGACGGTTTACGTTCGGATTAAATATCTTCTCTGAATTATTTTAATTACATCTGTCATTAACGTAAACCATATGGGGCAATATGCACGTTGCATTTCTACTACCAGCGTAAGTTTAGATCAGTACATCCAGAGGAAGTTGAGTAGTCAAGATACATTCCACGATTGCATTGTGGGAATGTAAACATTACGAACGTTACCGTGTCGCTGAAAACTTGTGAGTCGAAATGACACATTTTAACCGTCGTAAAACATAAACGTAATGTTTCCACCAGTGATGTTAGGTGAGTGAAGCAACAGCAAACCAAGAAACTGGATTCAACGGTGTAGTTTACTGTAGGATGTCGTACGAGGCGATGACAACTGACATGCATCGTGACGTCGTTGACATTGTGATGTAATGTAAAATGGTTCGATTACGAGGGGGCACACTAGAATGGCGCAGTGACGGGATAACGTCATTCAATTGTTACGTCATCAAAAAACTATACCTTTATTGTCTGATAATGTTTTGTTTTTCGATTGTTCTAACCGCTAGGCATCTTAGAAAACTACATACAACAACCAGAACATGTGGAAGTGATGGCATTAAAACTGGAAATACACATAATTTTCTCAAGAATTATTTACGATTTAATTTTGCACAGGTTGGGGTAGTGGTGTTCCGATTAATTGAAATAATCGAAGATTGGTCGCAGTGATCAAACGACCAAGCAATTGATCACATTTTCTCATAATCGAACATAAACGATTTTGGAACTACTGTTTTAGTCTTTGAAAAACTTGACAATGGAACATATCTTAGAAGTTGTCAGGGCCTGAAAACGTGTTTAATTGTTAGAAAACTCACTTCACTAACTGAAAAGCCATGACTGAATATTTCTCTAAGACTCAAGGAAGTTTATGTTCATGATATATTAGTCATCACTTTTAAGTAGCAAGTTGCATCATGTTATACATATCTGCAATAACAACCTGGATAGGAAAATCTGAAAAATGACGCTAACCAATTTTTTTCGATGATTGTTCATTGGTAATGAAGCAATCATCAATTGTGAGATTTCAACCAATTCCCAACACTAGTTTGTGGCATGTATTTTCCTAACCAAGAGTTAAAGTCATTTGGCAGGAAGTGATGTATTTTAGAGTTGAGTTGCATATAATGATTGTATTTGAGTATTGAGGGTATTGGGAAATACTGGTTTGGTTTCTCAGACCACCTGGCACTGATTTTATCAAGGATTGTTAACAAGGAAATGTATTTCAGTTCCTCTTTATGTAACCCAGTAGGTAGATGCAAGGCACTTTATTTAAGAAATAAAGTTCGCTCTACCCCAATGTGTTTTGTAATAAAGTATAGTTTTGCCCTGAACTATTATAATTAAAGCACGAGGACTGTAGTCCGAGTGCTTTGATATTATAATAGTTCAGGGCAAACGCTCTATTACAAAACTGACAGGGTAAGCTTAACTTTTTATCTTTCTAAGATGCTAAATTTAATACTTTCTAAGGATAATTACGATTAATTTAAGGTAGAAAACAAATGGCGGTGTCGGTGACCTAAATTAAGAATCCTCGCACAGGGCTAACTGGTGCGCTGTTCTATTGATGTGTCTGCCCCCTCACGTTAAGGCGAGCGTTACCAGAATAAACAAATGATAACAGTTTGATGGCGGTTTACGTTCGGATTAAATATCTTCTCTGAATTATTTTAATTACATCTGTCGTGCGTAAACCATATTGGGCAATATGCGCGTTGCATTTCTACTATCAGCGTAAGTTTAGATCAGTACATCCAGAGGAAGTTGAGTAGTCAGCGACATTCCACGATTGCATTGTGGGAATGTAAACATTGTGAGCGTTACCGTGTATAAGCTGAAAACTTGTGAGTCGAATTGACACATTTTAACCGTCGTAAAACATAAACGTAATGTTTCCACCAGTGATGTTAGCTGCGTGAAGCAACTGCAAACCAAGAAACGGGATGCAACGGAGTAGTTTACTGTAGGAGGCCATACGAGGCGATGACAACTGACATGCATCGTGACGTCACTTACATTGTGACGTAATGTAAAATAATTCGATTACGAGGGGGCACACTAGAATGGCGCAGTGACGGGATAACGTCATTCAATTGTTACGTCATCAAAAAACTATACATTTATTGTCTCATAATGTATTTTTTTTTCGATTGTTCTAACAGCTAGGCATCTTAGAAATGGTAACTTTGAGATTGTAGGAGGTATGTATTTCTCCAAACCGATTTTAACAGTACCATACTCAAGTGACACATATAGTCTCACCCCAGGCAGGTGAGTTTGTTCAAAATGTCTCTGTTCACCAAGCAGTGAATGGGTACCTGGTGCGATAAGTCATATGTCTGTTTACCTTCTAGCACCTTACAGGTAGCTAGGCTTAAGCTGGGTAATAATTTGTTAGCATCTTTAGTGGGTGGATACAGTTACTATATAAATAGCCATTACTATATAATACCAGACAGGCAACCATGGTGGAATGTACAAATTTCTGGAAACTTCAGTGAAGAGATTGTTATTGATTTTGCAAGTAGAGACACCGGTAATGACTTCAAGCCAATAATGAAGAGACACAATCTTCAAAGTCAATCAATTTGTCTCAGTGTCTCTATGGCATCCTTGATAACATATCTTTACCGAACGTATAAGGTGAGAAATGTTGATGCTAAACTGTCTCATCAATGAGAGCCTTATTTAAACTTCAGATCCAACCAAGAAGAACCAACAGGCGGGGGTGGCTGGCCCTGGAATGGCAGCCCATGGTATCGGTGGAGGGGCCGTAGTCCCAGGACAACAGGACCCCATCAATGCCCTTCAAAACCTCACCAGACAGGGGGTGGGGCAACAAGGTGATAACCAGAGGAAGCTCTGTCTTTTTGTCCACCAAAATCTGGGTTACAATTGGTCTTCGGTAACCCATGCTTGTCGTAAGAGGCGACTAACAGGATTGCTGAAATGGTTGACACGTTATCGTATCCCAACTGTGTAGATCAATGCTCATAATGTTGATCACTGGATTGTCTGGTCCAGACTCAATTTTTACAGATTGCTGCCATAAAGCTGGAATATTGCTGAGTGCAGTGTTAAGCAACACACAACCAAATCAGTCAATGCTTCGAGTTAACCTGATGTAGTAGTTAAGGAATTTTAGAATAAGTTCTTTCTGATTTATTTACATATCTGTTCTGGACTCAAACTACTTGGATGCCCCAAAAGTTGACTGTTCAAAGTTCATCAATGATAAGCTTATGTTTGTAAATACATAGGAGTTGGATCTTTCTTATTTCTTCTGACCTGTGAAAGATCCAGGGTAGAATAGGTCTTCAGCAACCCATGCTTGCCACAAAAGGCGACTATGCTTGTCGTAAGTGGCGACTAACGGGATCGGGTGGTCAGGCTCGCTGACTTGGTTGACAAATGTCATCGGTTCCCAATTGTGCAGATCAATGCTCATGCTGTTGATCACTGGATTATCTGGTCCAGACTCGATTATTTACAGACCACCGCCATATAGCTGTAATATTGCTGAGTGCGGCGTAAAACTAAACTCACTCACTCACTCACTCTTATTTCTTCTTTGTAGAAAACAAACCCACACTCATGCTTTGCATACTGGCAGTTAATGATAGTATTTGTAATGCTACAAGCCACATATTTGTGTATTGCTGTAATATGCTGATGGTAGCATAAAACACTAACTAACCATTTTGTTAGGGATGATGACAACACACCAGATGACGCCACAGCAGAGACAACAGCTTGTTGCACAGCAACAGGCACAGCATTCAATGCTGCAACAGCGAACTCAGCAGCAACATCAACAGCAGCAACAGCAACAACAGCAACAGCAGCAGCAACCTCAGCAACAGAAGCCCCAGTTGCAGGTGTGTATTCGTACAGTTTGTTTACTTTACTGTGGAAATTTACCTGATATTGATGAATACTGAGAGGTGTATCTGTGTAATGTAACAGGATATTGAGGAATCTGGAATATTTGTTTATTTGTTTCAGAGACAAGATGCATTCATTGTCACCTCCCCACAGAATGTGCAGCCCGTTCAGAGTCAGCCCCTCCCTGCCTCCTGTCAGAATGTAAGCATAGTTGTGGCTTTATTTCCTTATGATTTACTTTGCGATTACACATCAAGGTCAAACAAACAAACAAACAATCACTGTTCGAGACTGGTAACTAGCTGTCAATACATGGCCAAGTTTGTTGTAGTTGTTACAAAGTTGCATCTAAAGTACTGAATTTTTATCTTCCTTTTGTTAATTCATGCCAATAATATGCCAGTGGATGGTTAAAAAGTACAAGGAATAAATTTTCAAAAGAGATGTCATATAGCGGGAATATTCCTGCATTACACAACAAGGACACACACAAGCAGACACTCACTCACTCACCCACTCTTGTCTGGCATGTAAAGGATATCATACGTTCATATCAGTTGAATAAGAAATGTTTTGCAAGTCAAGTAATAAATAAATACAATTATAGTCTTCATAGAGTAAAGAGTCAAGATTCAAAGCTACTTGGCTGAAAAAAATCAGATTGAATATGAACTTTTGACATTGATCAGTGGTTGGTAATGAGAGGCATTTATGGGGTTCTGACATGTTTTCCATGTTTGATTCAGATCCCGTTCCAGCCCACGTCCGGGGCAGCTCCTCGCCCCGTCGGCCCCAGTGGGATCTCAGGCCAACAGCAGCAGTTCCAGCAGGTGCCTGCCTCATCATGCTTCACACACGAGATATTGCACAACATACATCTGTGTCAATGTCAGATGAAATGTTGGAAACTTTCTTTAGCATGAACTCTGTGCAGTCATGTGAAATCATGTTTTCAGGTTCTCATTCTAACAACCATTCTCTTCCCACAGAGGTTACTCCTGTCATATCTTCCTACGTAACCTCTGTTCTAATACGGCCATATTTCCCGGTTCTCGTAAAATCCCCTAGCGGCAAAAGATCGCAACACAAATTATCTCCCTTCTTTCTATCCAATCAGAACACCTGTTACATCGACTTAGATTCAACTTGACTAACACAAGCAAATGTGGGGCCACAAATATCCCCCATCTGCCGGGGACTTGTGTTGATGTTACACACAAGACGTTTAATGGCTAGCTTGTCCGTTGTCAACGAGGGCGATGGAGACGCTCCTGATCCGCCATAACATAACTGAGTTCTGTCTAGAAGAAACGTTTGCGCATCGCGCAGGGGAAGAAGTTTAGTTTTCTCGAAGCATACGGAAATTACCGAGGCCTTGCGAATGATCACTTTTGAAACAACGTTGCTGATTGCACAACTAAATCTGATTGTCTCCAATCACGAGTCTTGAACGCTCACACCATGAAAGGGCCGTATTAGAACAGAGGTTACGTAGGAAGATATGACAGGAGTAACCTCTGTGGGAAGAGAATGTCTAACAACATATGATAATGAATGTTGAGTCTGAAAATCTATTGAAACTTGTTTTGTGAGTGAATGGGGAAGTTTTGTCACTGTTTTAAACAGTGTTTTACTTACATCCCCGCGGTCAGGTTGATATGGGAGGAAAGCCTGGCCATGCACCACTTCGGGGAAACAAACAGGCACAGGTAGGAACTGACAATAGATTTCTGGCATTTCCAAGCGATGCACGCCTCAGCAGAGAATTCTGGCGCCATGACCTGCACATCAGGCCTTCCTTCCACATTATGCTGACGCCCATTTCTGGTGCCTCCTGCCGTGATATTGCTGGAATATTGCGAAAAGTGTCGTAAAACTCAACTCACTCACATTATACTGACACGCTGTGATGTACATGGAATACTGTTGGATTTGGCACTGAACACAATTCACTCAATCACTCACTTAACCTAAGTAAGAATCCTGCCTGAATAGGAAAAGTTGCAGTAAGCTTTCAGATATACGAGGGATATAATTCTTTCTGTTGACAATATTTCAGTCCTCTGGACCGCAGTCAGCTGGCTCCATGGCTCCGGCCCACTCCCCTGCCCAGATGAGGTACAGTTACCTTTCACCTTCTCTCCTTCACTTTGGATATGGATATTTATGTGTTCCCATGATAAACAAGACTGATTCTTTTACGTCAGGTGCACATCACAATAGAGTGAGAGATCTGATTGTCCCTTTCAGAAGTTGAGGAAAATGCAATGGTAAATAATTGAGTCAGGACCAGACAAACCAATGATTGACATCTTTAGCATCAATCAACACAATTGGGATACGATGACAAACATCAGCTCTATCAGCAAGTCTGATCCCCTGATCCTGCTAGTGTCCTCTTTGAAAGATGAAAAATACAAAATATTTTCCAATACTATAGTGTTGAGGCCATAGTATTGCTTGAAAAGGAACTCAGGCATACATGGGCCCCAGGCTGCCTTAAACACAAGGATACGTAATACCTTATATGTATCATGTATATCAGTCTAGTAGTTACTAATAACTAACACCATAGACATTGCCTCAGTTTTACACTGTACACAGATTACAGTGTTTAGACCTTGGCTGAAATTTGGCACTGGACCTTTGAGCAGAGTCTCTTCAATGGCTATGAACACTGATATCAATTTTCCAAAAGAAGCTAGAAATAGTGGATGTCCTTATTTTCACAATTTTTTATGAAAGGTTTCAAGTGAAATAACTTAAACAATCAGACTGATACTCAAGTGTGTGGTGAAGTCGCCATTGATGATATCCAGCATGTACATGCAGTGTTCGGTTATTGGCCGTTCAGGTAAAGGGAGATAATTCAGGCACATGAAGTTGTGTCAATGGATGCAGGACTCCTTTGTCTGATTTAGCCTGAACTTGTCACCTCAGTGATGATCGAATGAATAATGTTTTTTAATATGTTATATAAATATTATACCATGTCTTTAGTGTATGTACACATTACACCCTAGTTATCTCCATTGCTTGTTAAGATCTGGGCTAGAATTGGTCTTCAGTAACCCATGCTTGTCGTAAGAGGCAACTAACTGGATCGGGTGGTCAGGCTGGCTGACTTGGTTGAGTGCTCATCTCATGAGTGCTCATCTCCTGTTCTACTCACGTGACACGACCAGTAAACGTGTGAAGCCTGTCTTGTCCCCCTCCGTGAAGCTGTTTCAATGCAACACCAAGATGTCTTCAGAAGAATAGTTTACATGTTAAAATTCACATCAACTCACACACATACATACATAGCCCATTAGTCATCTCTTGTGAAATTATTTGATTTCTTGCAATTTTCAATAATAGAGACAATAAGCTGTGTGTCCTTTAATGACAGTTCCCCAGTGACCATGCTGACAGCCCCGTCACCTCAGCCGCAGGTAACACCATCCCCTGCAGCCAAGGGTAACACCGGCACACCATCCCCTAGTGCGGCTCTCAACACTCCAGGTAAGTGGGACCAGGGCCAAACAAGTTTTTCCAGCATTATTGATAATTGTGCGGATATTTGACTTAGAGAGTCACACAAAAGGAGTATCTTTTTCAAGGCAGTCAGTGTTACTTTCATCATTTGAAGCCTATATAATGTTTTTAGAATTTTAAGGAATTACAAAGATTGACTTGCTTTATTTGTTTCCTTTTATGAAATAAAACCAAAATGTTGGCATAAAGTGATTTAACAAAGCAGACAACTTTATGGATAACAACTTCTTGTTTATTGCACAGAGTGACATTTTAATGTAGGTTCTTACAACGTTATCAAACTTAGTGTGTTATCCATAAATTTGTATGTGTTGTTATTTACTCACCAGGGGCGGTTGGGTAGCCTAGTAGTTAAAGCGTCCAGGGTTCGACCTGGGTTCGATTCAACTCGTGACAATGTGTGAAGCCCATTTCTGGTGTCCCCCCACTCCCTCCGTGATATTGCTAGAATATTGCTTAAAGCGGCATAAAACTAAACTCAATCACTATCTACTCACCAACTTCTAGAATGGCGATCAGACAATTATGAAAGGAATTCTATGTCTGTGTCAGGTAATCCTGGCTCTGTGGGCCCGCCCCAAGTCCTGGCCAACCCAGGAACACAAGCGAGGAGCAGGCCTACCTGGACAAACTCAACAAGCTGTCCAAGTACATCGACCCCCTCCGCCGCATGGTCAACAGGCTGGAGAAGGACGGAGGTAAGCAGACAAACCGTCATCTTGTTCTGTTGCTTAGTCCTGCAAGATCATTTTTTGTGTGTTAGGCAGATCATGAAATTGTTTGTCAAGCATCTTACCAGTGTATGAAATAAGCCAGAAGCACAGCCAGACATCAGGGCTGGTAACTTCAAAATGGTACCAGCCCAAAATGGATTTAAGCAGACCAGACACCAAGATATTGTGAATTTACTCAGATGTATGGGACATCTAAAACTTTTACCAGACCATTGGGCTGGCTTGCTGTAAATTTTGACCATCTGTCAGAAATCTAGCCGGTCTCGAGCGGGCGGACGGGCTTTATTTCATACACTGATCTTACCTTGGGTTTACGCCATTGTTATTCAAGGCTAGAATAGCTTCCCAACAACCTATGTTAGTGGGCATATAACATGGGCTATAATATCAGCCTGGTCCAGGTTTCAAAGGTATGCAGTATGAAGATCTGCTATTCATACATGTTTGAACTTTCAGATCGGAAGAAAGATTACCACAAAATGAAGAGTTTACTGGACATTTTGACCGATTCCACTAAGAGGTAAGAATGTCTAAACAAATTGTGGTTTTGTTAAAATTTATTATTCAAAGAGAATTTGGAGTAGTGAATCAATGAAATACAGCCCAATTTGATTGATAAGCTCAATGTATTGCATAGTTTAGTGTAGGAGGTGGTTGTTCGAACACTTGGCTTCTTTGTGCCTCTTCAGAGATGATATATGTTGTTATATGTTGTAAGGGATAACAATCAAGGTGGCCGGCCGGCATACAAAACATTTATTCATGACGACTAGACAGGACAGAAGACAAGACGAAACTGATGCACACATGCAACACGGACGACCCACTAACAATACTCAGACCTGATTGGCATACCGTGTCACGTGTGTGCTGCACAGGTATCGCAGTACTTAAAGGGACCATCCGTCTCATGTTTACATCTCACAATATACACATTCATTGTTACATACCTGACACTTAGCATGATGGTGTCTGTGATCTAGTAAGCAGAACACCTACTTTGCAAGTGGAAAGTGGGAGGTTGAATTCCCTGGACACTTCATGCCAACTGACATTACGAGATGATACCTTGCTATGCTTGGTATTTACAGTGTAAAACAAGGACTTGTTGGCTTGCGTCAGTATATGGTGTCTGAGTAGAATATCCATGTCAAGTGATTCATGGTATCTCACTGGGCCAGCACTATCAAACTGGCATTAGTCAAGACATGTATGTGCATTTTTGTAATTCCAATAATATTGAACGTGACCTTAAAACCCATTTCACCTCACCTGACCTTTAAGAAAGGCTGGTTACTGATTACTGACTTCAGAAAGGGAGACAACCCATGACAGTTGTGTGAACTAGGATCACCACAGCATGATGGTTGTTAGGAGCTGTTGTGCTTGATGATGTCATGTGGTGTTGCAGGGTGCCAGTTGCTATGTTACAACGATGTGAGCAGGTGCTCCAGAACTGGGACATACAGACCAAAGGGGTAAGAAGGCAAAGTTTAAAGGGATAAAAATTGAAAATTTTATTCTTTTCCACATAATGGAAAAATTCCAGGAAATTGTTAAGATTTATTCTGTAGCCTGACAAGAGTGGGGGATCTGTTGAGTGACTGGGCTATTTGGACTAAATCTGTTGTCACTGCTTTAGTGTTGGGTAAAATACCTGGTTGATTTTGCTTCCAGAGTTCGAGCACGGCAGTGTCTAGCGTCCACAGCTCCTGGTGTCAACACTTGACAGATGCTCTGTCCACTCATATCAAGTCCTCCACCATCAACCATAGCCTCTTCCGCTCCTTCGGACCTGCAATCAACACCCTCTGTGGAGCCCCCATCATAAGGTACAATGATAGCACTCTTTATACGTATGTTTAGAACAGAACACCAGTCCACTAAAACAGAACCCGTATGTTTGAACTGTAGCAGTTCTTATCCACTAAGTACAGTACCTCTTTATAGTATGTTTAGAACTGTAGAACCCTCCTTATCCAATTCCCAGATAACCTACGTGCAGTACCTGGGCAATATGTATCTGAGACAAGATAATACATAGAGGAGGAATTGTATGGATGTTAACTTCTGTAATATGAGGAACACACATTTTGGAGTATATTCTTACTCCTTTATAGGTGGGTGGTGGGGTAGCCTAGTGGTTAAAGCATTCACTCGTCATGGCTAAGACCCTGGTTCGATTTCCCACATGGTTACAATGTGTGAAGCCCATTTTTGTATCCCCTGCTCTGATATTGTTGGAATATTGCTAAAAGCAGCATAAAACCATACTCACTCACTCAACCTTTATCAGGTGAATGAAAGCTAGGAAGCAGCTAGCTATATACAAGTGATAAGTTGGACACTTACAAGGGAAGCCAGTAGTTTATTGGCACTGAGTGGTAATGGCAGTGGACATATAGCAGCTAGATATAAATCCAAGAGTAATTAGTACTGACAGGTGAAAAAATCTGCACCAAATAGTAATTAATCACTGATGACTGATAGGTAATGTAAAGGAAGTAGGGAAAGGGGGTTAATAGCACTGATAGCATGCTATTGACATCATTATCATCTCTATTAACCCCATTTACCCCACCCTCCCTTTTCCATTACCTTTCAGTGGTGTTTATTGTTATTTCTAAATGGCTGTGTGTATTCATGTATTATTATTCTTTTTCATTTTCAGACAATGCTCTCTGAATTGTTGTGTTCTTCCTGTTACAGAAGTTCACATTCATAACATTCCCCCTTTATGTGTAGCACTTCTATAGTCTGTTTGGCTCAAAATCGGACCGATGAATTGCAATCTAACTCGAAAACTAATAAACATATAAAACTCAATGAAACGCTGATCATAATCAAAACATCAGAACAACTGTGTGAGTTTTTTGTAGAAGTTATGTCATAACAATAAAAATGTTGTGTAACAAACTACTATTAAAATTTGACACAGTTCACTATTTGTTACGAGGGAGGAGTGCAATGAGAGGAACAGCCAGGTGTACGTGAAGCACGTGCACAAGTGCTGACAAAGTTATTGATTCATTAACCTGTGCTGTGCCATCTCCATCCTTTCTGGCACACCTGGTTGTTCCTCCCTTCGCACTCCTCCCTCGTAACACAGTGAACTGTAAATATTTTAATGATAGTTTGTTAAACAACTTTTTTAATTTTAGGACATGAATTCTGAAAAAAACTCACAGAGTTGGTCTGATGTTTTAATTATGATCAGCGTTTCATTGAGTATTATATGTTTATTAGTTTTTGACTCAGATTACGATTCATCGGTCCGCTTTTGAGCAAAACGGACTATAAATGCCATTTGAAGTGAATATAAATACATGAGCTGATCTATTAAAAAATCCACTGAGTCTCACAAAGATACAGATTTCCAAAAAGCGATCATAATGCCAAGGTGATTGTAACTCCCTTACGTTAACATAAAGTTATGAAAATGCTGTGATTACTTTGTAGAATGGAGATTCTTTAAATATATAACATTCAGCCCCATGTTTATTGTGTGAACTTTATTGTACATCTTGCCTGTCTCCAGAGGTCCTAGTCCACCCAAGAAGCAGAAGACAATGCCCCTCCAAACAAAGAAGGAGGGTCTACCAGACCTCCTGCAGGGCGAGATCGCTCGGCTCCATAACCGCTTCCGCGTCAGCCTTGACCCCCTTCACCATGCTGACTCCAAGTCCATACACCTGGTCTGCCGCCTTGGTGAGTCTTAGCAAGTCTTAGTCAATCTGGGAGAGTTATCATACCTATCTGAAGGCTATGATTTCCTCTGCATGTTACCCCTCAGTGCCTTGTGGACTGGAAGCCTATATACATGGTCTTCCAACTTGGGGACTCTTAGCAAGCTTCAGTCAATCTTATCAAGTCTTAGCTTGCTTTTGCATACATGTTTCATGGCAAACATGTTGTCTGTGTGTTGATTATGTGCACCGTGAAGACTCCTTGTCCATACACAAGTCTGCCAACTTAGTGAGTCTTAAGTGATTCTTAGCATGTCTGCCTCACTGTCAACCCAGCCTTGCTACGTCCAACTCTCCTGTGTAATGTGTTTATTGTATTGGTACTTTATATTTTGTTTATGTACATGTTATGACAATTAAATAAATTATGTCTGTCTGTCTGTCTGTCAGACACTCTGTCTGTCTGTCTGTAGCACAATCCTTATTCTACTCAGTGTTTTTGATTCCCCATGGAGCACTAATATTCCCAAGTGAAGCTACTAAGTCATGGACTGATGACTTGAAAAGCTCTAGGATCCTGTGATGAGTCCAAGTATGTTTTGTATTTAACAGTAACATGCTAAAAGATGGTTACGCACAATTTTGTTATGGAATCAACTAGATTGTGAACATTTGTCATAATTGGGCGTCAGTTCTATGACTTCTTCATTGTCATCTTGGTTATGATCGCTGTCCATGTATTCAAGTCTATGTATGTCTAATGGTATTGCTATGTGCTCACATCACAACATGGAGTGTATCATGACTTATGTGATGTGCTTAATGTAACTTCTTTGACTGGCATTTTTAGACTGACTGACTGACTGAGTTTGGTTTTACGCCACTTTTAGCAATATTCCAGCAATATCACGGCGGGGGACACCAGAAATGGGCTTTACTCAGTGTACCCATGTGGGGATTGAACCCGGGTCTTCGGCGTGACGAGCCAACGCTTTAACCACTAGACTACCCCACCGCCCCGGGATTTTTAGAAGTTGGAGAGTCAGATAAGGACAAACTGTATCGAAACATCTCATCCCAAGATAACACAGGTTATATCTGTCTATCCATGAGCAAAGTCCAATGCAGTCTATGCAAGACGTGTGCGCGTCGGATGTAGATAATATCTCCTTAAATTGATTGCAAAACTTTCTTCGCTAGATGAGGAATCCTAAACATTGCTCATCCATAGCGTTTGACCTGATCTGCTTAATCTAAGCCCAATTCTTATGTTCCATATTAAAGAACAAGATAATCTAACATAATTTACTATTTTGGGTTATGTCCCATTTTGGATTCAAACCCACATTCCCTGGAATTAGTTTTTAATCACCAGCGAACAAATCCAGTGACCTAACCTGAAGCTTCCACAAAATGGATGTTAAATAACTGGCTAGGTGCCTCATCCTGTGACTGAAGGTTTAAATTCAGGATTGGACTCATACCCAATAGCTTTTGTACTTAACTGAGAAAGTTTCGTACCAAGTGTAAAGTTTGTCTCCTTTGGCTACTTTTTGAAAGGAGTGTGTATTGATCTTCATTGCAATTATCATCCCCATGAAAAATGATGGTATGTAAGTATGTAGGCTGTCATGTCAAGTATTGTCATGTGATATACTAATTAGCCCATGGCAGTGGTGTAATGCTAAGTCATCATGTCAGGCATGGTCATATGATATGCTAATTAGCCCATGGCAGTGGTGTAATGCTAAGTCATCATGTCAGGCATGGTCATGTGATATACTAATTAGCCCATGGCAGTGGTGTAATGCTAAGTCATGTCAAGTATTGTCATGTGATATACTATTTAGCCCATGGCAGTGGTGTAATGCTAAGTCATCATGTCAGGCATGGTCATTTGATATACTAATTAGCCCATGGCAGTGGTATAATGCTAAGTCATCATGTCAGGCATGGTCATGTGATATGCTAATTAGCCCATGGCAGTGGTGTAATGCTAAGTCATCATGTCAGGCATGGTCATGTGATATGCTAATTAGCCCATGGCAGTGGTGTAATGCTAAGTCATGCAAGTGGCAGTCAGTGGTCATGTGATATGCTAATTAGCCCGTGGCAGTGGTGTAATGCTAAGTCATGTCTAAGTGGCAGTGGTATAATAGTCATGTCATGTGATATGCTAATTAGCCCATGGCAGTGGTGTAATGCTTAGTCAGTCATCATGTCAGTGGCATTATCATGTGATATGCTAATTAGCCCATGGCAGTGGTGTAATGCTTAGTCATCATGTCAGTATTATCATGTGATATGCTAATTAGCCCATGGCAGTGGTATAATGCTTAGTCATGTCAAGTATTGTCATGTGATATGCTCAGTGTGCAGGTCATGGTCATGTGATATGCTAATTAGCCCATGGCAGTGGTGTAATGCTAAGTCAGTGGTGTAATGCTAAGTCAAGTATTATCATGTGATATGCTAATTAGCCCATATGATGGCAGTGGTGTAATGCTAAGTCATGGCAGTGGTCTTAGTCATGTCAAGTATTGTCATGTGATATGCTAATTAGCCCATGGCAGTGGTGTAATGCTAAGTCATGTCAAGTATTGCATGGTCATGTGATATGCTAATTAGCCCATGGCAGTGGTGTAATGCTAAGTCATGTCAAGTATTATCATGTGATATGCTAATTAGCCCATGGCAGTGGTGTAATGCTAAGTCATGTCAAGTATTATCATGTGATATGCTAATTAGCCCATGGCAGTGGTATAATGCTAAGTCATGTCATGTCAAGTATTGTCATGTGATATAAGTCATTAATTAGCCCATGGCAGTGGTGTAATGCTAAGTCATCATGTCAAGTATTATCATGTGATATGCTAAATAGCCCATGGCAGTGGTGTAATGCTAAGTCATGTCAAGTATTATCATGTGATATGCTAATTGGCCCGTCGCAGTGGTGTAATGCTAAGTCATGTCAAGTATTATCATGTGATATGCTAAATAGCCCATGGCAGTGGTATAATGCTTAGTCATGTCAAGTATTATCATGTGATATGCTAATGTAGCCCATGGCAGTGGTATAATGCTTAGTCATGTCATGCTAAAGTATTATCATGTGATATGCTAATTAGCAGTGGTGTAATGCTTGGCAGTGATTATTGTGTAATGCTAAGTCAGTCATGTCAAGTATTGTCATGTCAAGTATTGTCATGTGATATGCTAATTAGCCCGTGGCAGTGGTGTAATGCTAAGTCATGTCAAGTATTATCATGTGATATGCTAATTAGCCCATGGCAGTGGTATAATGCTTAGTCATGTCAAGTATTGTCATGTGATATGCTAATTAGCCCATGGCAGTGGTGTAAATGCTTAATCATGTCAGGCAGTCATGTAGCCCATGGCAGTGGTATATTGTCATGTGATATGCTAATTAGCCCATGGCAGTGGTATAATGCTTAGTCATGTCAAGTATTGTCATGTGATATGCTAATTAGCCCATGGCAGTGGTATAATGCTTAGTCATGTCAAGTATTGTCATGTGATATGCTAATTAGCCCGTGGCAGTGGTGTAATGCTAAGTCATGTCAAGTATTGTCATGTGATATACTTGGCAGTGGTGTAATGTGGCAGTGTGTCATGTCAATGTAATGCTGGCAGTCATATCTAAGTCATATCAAGTATTGTAATGTGATATGCTAATTGTCTGTGGCAGTGGTGTAATGCTAAGTCATGTCAAGTATGGTCATGTGATATACTAATTGTCTGTTGCAGTGGTGTAATGCTTAGTCATGTCAAGTATTGTCATGTGATATGCTAATTATCCTGTGGCAGTGGTGTAATGCTAAGTCATGTCAAGTATTGTCATGTGATATGTTAATTAGCCCGTGGCAGTGGTGTAATGCTAAGTCATACCAAGTATTATAATGTGATATGCTAACTGTCTGTGGCAGTGGTATAATGCTAAGTCATGTCAAGTGTTGTCATGTGATATGCTAATAAGCCTGTGGCAGTGGTGTAATGCTAAGTCATATCAAGTATTGTCATGTGATCATAATGCCTAGTTTTAAATAAAGTGTAAGAAATGTGTTTGCCTTCGATTATAAGGATATTTCAATAAAGTTATTTTTGTTTTACCCCGTGGCATCTGTTTTGGTGAATGATTAAAACTGGTTGTTGTATTATATATGTTGTTGAGAATTGACACCAGTGTATTTTTGTGTTCATAATACAAGCATACACATCAGGGTGAGCATTATACATATTTATACAGTTCACACTGTCATTTACATTAATAATTCCAAAAATAAATTGAAATAACTTCCTATGGATTTGAACTACACCTTGTTGAGGACATGACTTTGCCTGTTTCACTAAATTCTGACTACGAGAGGAGTTACTTCCCTTGCATCATGTTGCGATAACTTCAGACCATAAAAGCCGGCATAGAACTGGAATATTGCTGAGTGCGGATATGTCACCAACTGCATCCATGGATGAGAAACACTGACAGGGTTCTTGATTCCTTTTCCGCTAGTGAAGCAGTCATATTTGAAATTTTGTGTTTGGGTGCAGTTATGTGACTAGTCAGTATCACAGATGTGTAAGAATTTTGTAGAATATTTATGGGGCAGTGATGATTCTACCAACTGTTTGGTCTTGTCTAACTACTCCTTATGTCATTTATCACCCAGTTAACATGTCGGTTAAATATTTAGGTTGGTACATAAATCAAGATATCTGTGTCATTTCTACACCAGCATTAGTGTTGACTTAATGTGCATTAAACATCAGTCTGTTCAAAAGTAACTTCAAATAGGTGCAGCTTCTTCTTATGACAGTATACTAACTGACTTCTGTCAGTTCGGAATCCTACAGATAGCATAGTAAACTTTAACTTTATGCAACAATTAGTGCATCTACAACTTCAAACAGATGCTTCTCATCATCATCATCATCATCGTGATATTGCTGGAAATTGCCATGAAATTGCTAAAAGGTCACTCACTCACTCACTCACTTATATGT